GTAGGCACCTCGGAATGATTGTGTTAAGCTAGCACTAAGTCCCCCCCCCATCCACCTTTATTCTTTTCTTTACAATAAGGCTTTCAAATAAGTCATGGTTGTACGGCATTGAATTATCGGTGTTGAACGCTGATGTCATGCTGTCGTTAATGATGATGTTGATGATGATGACGACGACGATTATGATGTGTTTCGCCACTTATGCAACTGACCATATTTGTGACCAACCATGTGAGACTTTACTGTGAAGTCTTGATCTAACTGTTCCGCTGTATGAATCAGTAGCTGCTGAGTGGGTCGCGCAAGCGAAGCGAATTCAGTGAGTAGAACTCAAACACGGTTAACGTAGACCAACAAGCAATTATTCACGAATCGGAGTCTTCAAAATCCAAAACCCCGAACACCTGAGGAGATTTCAACATTATTTGAAAAAAAACGGGACTGCCAAGAAACGAATTTGACTTGGGGGCGAAAGCGACATTCGTTTTTCTTCACCTGGGCTTTAGGGTGATCAAGGAGTGAAACAATCAGGTATCTTCCAGTATGTGATACCTGTCTGTTCCATGGCGAGTGGAATTACCGTACCCATATCAAGGTTTATGTAGGTTTTGGAGCACACGCGTTGAGCACTATTCATACAACACTTTCTTTTACAACTAGATACCGTTTTTCGAGAAATGCGCTAATTTGCAAATCAATTTGGTTTTCATGGGACACTCAGCTGAGTCTCTCGTTTATGATATTCTACAACTGAATGTGCTGCACACAGGCCGCCTCATGTTTCAGTTGGCATGATATTCGAGATATCGCAGTATATTTTCATAAAGGAAACTACTCACGAGGTTGCTGAAAACTCTTCGACAGCCCACGACCGGTTTCGACCTTCCAATTCGAGGTCATCAGATAAGCGCAGTCCCATCAACCTTATGTTCCACTTGAACCCTAATTGCACTGTTTTTCGAGTAATTCACTCAGTTGCAAATCAATCGATTCACAAAAGAACGGACTAAATTAGCGTCCTTAAATTTAAACAAACTTTTTGGTTTCTAAGCCTAACAACGTCATAAACGCAGGACCAAATTTGTTTGCAAATGAATGTATTTCGCAAATTTCTCGCATTCTGGTTTCCAAGTAGAACATAAGGTTAACGGAAAGTCGGGGACTGCGCCTACCTGCGAGGCCCAAATTGGCGAAACCGTTAGTGGGCTGTCGAAGAGTTTTCAGCAACCTTGTGAGTAGTTTCCTTCATGAAAATAGTACTGAGAACGTTTTTCGTACTTGTAGACACCTTTCGACTAGAGAATGAAGGTACACGAAGAAATTGTTTTCAAAGTCATATGTTTTGCTTATAAATGTCAAACAAAAAAGACTCTAAAAGAAGCACCAAATGTCACCGTGGGGAAAATGGGGCCCTGCCTATCCAACACATTGTTCGTGGGACTAAACGGATTCGCAGATCAATCGATTATCACAACCAGGACGGTTAATAGGTCCTTAATCGAGGGTTCGAGCCAGTCGAGGATTCTACCATTATCTGGTTTCCAGTATGATGTACTGGTATCACACACAGCTCGCAGTTCAAACCGTCGCGTGACCAACGGCATCTACTGTTGAGGAGCTCTGGAGAGAGAGGAGTCTGACTCCAGTCAGAGGTAGGTTAACCAACTGGGCCTATTCAGGACAGAAAACGAGTGTTTAGCAACAGCAAAGCCTCAGCTCAGTACCCTGCGGCGCGGCCTACTGACCGACATGAATCAAGCGGTTAGAAGCTATGTATGATGAAAGTAGGACCTTATTTGCACGGAATTTTTAAAGAGTGGTTACTCTAAAGAGTGCTACTGAACTTTCGCGATAGTTTGAAGAATAAACAGTTATGAACAGATACCGTAAATCAGTCCCATAATTACCTTACTAGCCTTCCACAAGATACGAGGACGGCGACGTGACCCTTGACGAAACACTACTGGCATGTATCCTCAGTAGTATACATCGTTACGCTGGTAGTTATCTGAAGATTTATTTAGACACAAAAACAACGGGGGAAAGCCCTGACCATCAGCAAGACAGGCGAATCAAATGAACTCAACCCTGACAAAGAACAGTACTCACGACGTTACGACTGAGTGGAGTAAATCGTTATTATATTGAACGTTTCTGACACGGAACGCAAGACCCACGGAACGAGACCCATTATTGCCCATTGGCCTGTATTAGCGATCGGGTTAGTTCATTGTCCACTTTGTCAATTTCTTTGAAGCTGTCGCATTTGGGAAAGAAATCTCATTTCCTTGGTCTGCGTAATTTTTATAGTAATAGTAGTAAAAGTTGTAACACCTATCGGTGTCTAATTGCTTTGCTGTCATGATAAAACACCAGGGTTGAGATACTACTCCTGCCCAAACCTAGACAGGAGCAGTCACGATGCCGAGGTTCGAACCCCGGAAGTTCCGGTCAATAAGTTGCAGCCGCAGGTATCTCGAACTCGACTGCGTGGAAAGGTAAACTCGTATCATCAAAACTATGAAAATTTCATCAGTTTGTGGAAGCGTCGAGTGATTTTCGTGACCAAGATTCTCGGCTGTTAGAGACTATCTCCAAACTCCGCGGTGGCGTAACTGACTGATCAGCTACTCTACTCTAGACCGATAATCTAGGACGCTGTGGCAATTAAATCTTCCAAGGTAGAGAATTCTTTCAGATTATAACAGCGGAAAAATAATGGATGAACCACACTGTCCTCTGTGTAATATTCATTGACATCATCAGCGAATTTATATTTTTCCGACTTTCCACCATCCTTCCACATTGTCACTGAACACCTGTGAGTAGAAGGGCGATGAGGGTTTTACCTTCTTATTGACAGATGCATTCGGACCGTTACGGGTGCTGGTACTCCAGCGCGTCTAGACTTAACACATGTTCTAACTGATGGGTTCTATTGTTCAGACTGGCGAGGGCGGGTTAGAGTGCACAAGCAGCATGGCTAAAATAGTGAGTTTCACGAAACTACGATGACACCGAGACAACCATTCACCATGTAAACCGCACAGGTCGTGACCAATGCAGACATACAGGTGCAGTGTTGTTGAAAATTTGACGAATCGCGGAGCTACACGGTTTGGCTACTGTAAACACACGACAGTTAAGCTGGTCAACAAAACGATAGTGTCAACAGCATAGAGGTTCAGTTTGCTGAAACGTGTGTGCATTCCGTTCGGCACGTCATGTTTGACCAATCAGAGGTGAGCGAACCTCTAATTCGCGTTCTGATTGGATGACGATCAGGTGATGGCATCCGTAGCCTAAAACGAACACGGTCGCCTCGGAGAACAAAATATATTTTGCGGGACAGGTTACCTGGGTAGAAAGACGGCATTCAACATGCGTTTTTATGCGTTTCTGCTCCTGTTATCCTTCGTCTGTGCTGACCCGTCCACTCCAGAAGAAGGTAAGGAGCAAGAAAACGATGAAAAGAAGGAATCCACGGAGACAGATGATTTTGGCGGAGACGTGCTTGTAAGAGATCCATCCATTCCACACTTTTGATAATCCTGCAGTCCAAAGGAATGGAACTCTTCGCAAATATGGTGAAGGACGAAAAAATTGGCCTTGGAGATGCATTGACTTTGATGAGTGCTTTTGGGAATATAAAAAAGGCCTTTGAAGAGGGTGCAAAATCCGTGAAAAACGGTGAGTCTTCCAGATCCCAAACAACAAGGGATGACACGAATAAAAATGTCACAATTTAATTGTACAAACTGTTGTATTTCAGTGGAAGAGGAAACTAAGCCCGACAAGGAACCTTCGCTTGACGATTTGGTAGGTGACGTTCATGTTCAATGGTTCACTTTCTGAAGGTGTTACGATTCAAAGAATTCGGTGAGATTCTCATGGATGAGTTTGGTCCGTATGCCGACACCATCTTCAAAGCCGCCTCCACTTTTGAGTGGAAGGATTTACTCATCAGTGGATTGCGGAGTTCACGTTCTCTTATCGATACAGGTAAGTTGGTCGTTATTACATTAGTTTGCATTAATTAACCAATTAATTAATTCCAGTTATAGACGTGTTAGAAAAGCCATCGACCGATACAAGTCATGAGGAGTTATGAACAGTTATCAAGTACGAAATAGAAACTGTGTGTGCTTTCCAATTATGTATAAATATGTTTTGAATACAAACTTTTTATTACTTCCTGGAATTTAAAGACTTTTTTTTCGGCGTTTGGAAGGAACAAGTGATCACGTGGTTTGTTTGTCAAAACAGTTATATAACTGGTCCCCAAGTCTAGCCTGCAAAGCGCTAAGTGGTTGAAGTTTCGGTACGTAACGAATCAACACGTTTATCCTCGTGAGTTGTACGCTAATCTACGAGTTTCCCGGGGAATTTTAGCTTTGAGAAATCGCGCGAACTTTGGTAAGTGTATCCGGCTCAGTTCTTTGATCAATTCATTAATGGTTTAGCTGTTAGTGGTTGCGGACGCCCACATCACTT